AAACTTTGTTTGGCACAATATCAATTAATTTCATGGCATAAAATTGAAGACATCTAAATTTAAAAAGTTGCACAGTCAAAATGTTCTGGTGTAGAAGATTTAGTTTAGTTAGGTATTAATATAAACGTTAAAAYAAGTAATTTCCATTAGGTTATAGAGGACATTTTATTATAAATTTAAATATTTTCACAAACCCTTAAAATGGTGGCCCAGCAGTGTAATAATAGTAGAATCATTTTGTATTTTACTAAAAGTTATGGTTATTAGGGTTTTAACATCGCATGATTTTTAAGAGGCAGTAACRATTAAGTGTTCCATTTATACATCGAAATAAGTATTTTTTTYGTATTTAAAATCCAAAAAATGAAGTATTTTGCCCATGTAATCATACAATTGATACATGTACATGTATATGTATTATATATAGTAACATTGTTGTGTGTTTTATATTAATGTGAGTGTGTTCGCATGCGCCCGTTTACTTCATATACATATTAAAATACACAAGCTGCGACTTCGGGTACCAACCAACCACTTCCACAGAATCCCAAGGGACAACTAAATATGCGTTCATGTTATATATATATATAATATAACATCATGGTAGCGGCGGCGACGGCGGTTTAGTTGACCGAATCAATACTAGGTGTCGCTCCGGAGTCATTCGACTTTTAATCAATGAAAGCGAACGGGGCGACCCACAAAAAATAAAATACAAAACAAAACAATACAAAACCAAACTGAAACGAGGCAAAAATAAAACGGAACGTTCTCGCGGAAAAAATTACGTCCACAGTTCACATGATGCATTTCAATGCATTWCTATGACACTGTGGCGTCAATAATTTTATCATAGTGTAATATTATCGTCGTCGTTGTCGTTGTAAATAATAATACGCGACTATTACGGTTATTTATAAATATCTAATTTATCCAAATCGACGTGCGTACATCCGGTTATTTTTTTTATCGTTCTTGCAATATTCCGCATTTAGTCGTGTCTACAAGGTGAGTACTCGATCGGTGTTATATTATTACCCACTGCTGTACGACAACAATAATAATAATAATAATAATAGTAATAATCTGGGGTCATATCGAACGCCGCTTTAGTGTACAGTTTAAAATCGCGTCGTCACGTCGACGTCATCCATTTTTAATATCGTAATATATATTATATTGTGTTTAGACGGACGGACGACGCGCGCAGAATCACCCCGTGTGATTTTATTGTGATTTTCGCCGGCGACCGTACCGCGTGCGAAAACCGCCTTTAATAGCGGCGGCGGCAACGACGACAACGACGACGCGACAGGACGAGATCAGAACTCAACGGTGGCACACTCTCATCGACAACACCCCGACAGACTGGCACCGCATATGATGTCCTCCGCCCGCAACTACGTGAAACATTCCGTTCGGTGAGTATAAAGATACATTTTTCCGATCACTTATACGGAATATGGGTCCAAAAACCAAAACCAAAATAAATGCGCCTATTTTTTTCCCCCGTCATATTGGATTTGTTTATTATTAGGTGTACCTACATGTCAAATTGTATAAAATATCAGTGCATGAATTTTCTTAAATTTTTCTATTTTCTTTTCTCTGTATTTTAAAATAAATGTGACCTTCAAAGTATTAATATTATTGGTCATGAACTCAAGGTATGGTTACTACAGATTATAGATTAGAATTTAAATTAATGTTTTATTTAATAATTTTTTAATCATATTAATTTTTAAATTGTATTTATCTTTATTCTTTAAATATAGCCTGTAAAATATGCAAAAATATACACTAAAAACTTTTGYTATTTCAATCACATAAAGTTATGCAATGAGTTTATAGCTTATTTAGCAGTAAAATCTAATGAGTAATACGTAAAAAAAAAAAAATATGGCAATGTAACAACGATCTAGACTTAATAATTACGAATAATTTAATAATTATATTTTTGTATTGTAATAAATGTTAATAATTTATCATCTTACGGACAATCGTTTTACTAAAGTAATTGATGATGAAGACGGAGGATACACTCGCGATTGTGCAGCGTGCCATGTAAAATGATGGTGGACTAAAAGTCCCATAATTCCAATTTATTTAGATCTTGTCTTTATTTCGCTATTCGAAGCTTAGTATTATGAATCATCTAGATGCCTACCCATAAAAGCTAGTCAATAAAATATGATATTCGAATATTCCACAGATTATTATCATATCCACCTGATAAATATCTTTTCTTAAATACCGGACCTATATCTTTTATACTGTGTAGTATGACTATTTTATGTTTGATTATTATGTTTTACCTTCAAACTTTTATGATAATTGTAACTAYTAATACTACTACTACTACTATTACTAATAATAATAATAAATGATAATAACACGCCTGCTTGAGTACTTCACGTAGTGTCTAATGTGCAAATTTGCATAATATACAATCGTAAAGTACAAATTCAACTATAGGTATATTTTAATATTTTAATTTAAAAGTATTCAAATCTATTTTTGAATAAGTTATAAATATATATTTTACATAAAGTAGGAGGATAAAGTCAATAGACAAATCCCTATAAAATTTAGCATCAATGTTAAAAGCATATTTGACATTTTTTAGTAAGTATTTAATTTTTCAAGTTCCAAATTCCAAATATTAAAGTATAATTTTTAATAAAGTCTATACAAAATTTATAAAGTTAATTAAAAATATCAAACGATTGGCAAATAACTTATAATAATTATATATCGTCGTATAGCGTTAGTTTCAAAATTCAAATTTATTAAAAATTAAAAATTTAAGAATCTAATAAAAAAATTAACTAAAAAACATCTTCATAAAATTAATTTTGAATTTTCTAATTGCTATATTGTAATAAGGATAAATCTTATAATAAACAAGTATATAGTCTCTAGATTTAGATATA